GGTGTATCGTTTATATTGTTGCGTAAGCTGAAATTTCGAAAACTCTCCTCACGCCTATAAATATAACCAACGCGACGCGCCAAAAAACAGTATCTATTATTGATTTGCTGTAGTTGGTGTGCTATAAACTTCAGAAGCTATAACTGTGATTGTAATAAGGCTTATTAATCGGGAACGTCAGATATATTGACCAGGAACGTTTATAGATTTCGAACATTACAAACCATTTAACTTCAGTGGATTCACATCGGACATTAGTATTTTTATGGAAACATTATATAACTGCATCGGTGGACAACTCGGCGTGTGTGGTCGGTGAAGAACAAAGAATACAGAGCTTGCTAGCTCTCTCTTAATTGAATTGTATTTACATCAACTCAAAATTAATTCGCTCATCGTGAACCCTCGACAAGATATCAAGGAAGTTCCAGACCAGATAGAGGACTAAATATTGTTTATAATTTTGTAAAACGTTTGTACATAGATCATTATTTGTAATAACTGTTATTGTGTTATTGTTTGTATATTAAAATATATTTGTATTAAAAAAAACTGCGTGTATCAATCTTATTGGCAAGTATCATAAATTGGATATATATCGACATTCATTTAGTTTGTAAATCTAAATTATCATTTAACTCGGTTTCAGGCTATTCGAAATTATAATATCTTAAGTAATAAATTGGAGTCTTGTCTGAGATAAATTGTAATACATAACATAATACATTGGGGACTCGTCCAGAACAAACTGTAATATGTAACAGCCGTGAACAGTCCCGATAACTACTTACATTGACAGTAGCTAGTAGCATGTAGCGGGTGATATGTGCCTAATTTTCTAGTAACTTAGGTTTGTGTCTGGCAGTTTATGATATGTGTCTGGTATCTGTTAATTAAAAAAACGACCTTCCTTCCGCGTATTTAGCTATCATATGAAGAAACATAGAAAAACAGAAATTAAATTTTTTGATCTTATATTTACATGCCAAATTACAACAAAGATAGTATTAACTAAGTAATTTAGTTGATACCTTAGTAATGTTAAATTTCCATTAGATGTCATGTTTATATGTGCATTTAAAGTTATTGTGCTCTGTTTATGTCTACATACAGAAATGCCTCTAAGATGGAATAAAACAACTGATTTGATTCTACATTTGACAATCTCTCTGATTTAAAAAAAACTCTGCGGTTTGCATAGCTACAGCTACTAGAGATAGCAAGCATGTGGACGGAGGTTACGTTTTCACCCTGTGTGTATGTGTGTGTGTGTGTGTGTGTGTATCTTTGTCAGCAAGGTTTCTGGAAAACGGCTGAATGGATTTGGACGAAAGTTGATATCCATTTGGAAAATTACCCAACGTAGAAGTTATTAGTTTTTGGAAGTCAAAGTCACAGCAAGTTCACGAAAATAATAAAAATCTCTATCTGTTAACATGGGAACAGATTTTTCACACTATTTGTGCTCTATAACTCAGTCAAAAGTTATTAGTTTTTATGAAACTTGGTGGGCATATGTAGAATATTGGTCCTCATTGTCCAGCTA